TTTCTGACATTTTGAATTGAAAAATCTTCCTGGATGGAAGAGAAACGTCTTCAAACTTTTGGAATCAGACTAGATGGGTTCTGTGAAAGTTAAACCCTGATGTTCTGCAGAGGAGAACCTGAGAACCTCCAGCTGGTTCCTCCTGAACCTGTACTGCCTGCAGCCCTGAAGGCCCGCCGTCTGAGTGAGAAGATCACCTTTAGTCAAGCTGGTCGTCTTCGTCTGCAGCCTCACGCTGGGATCTAAGAGACAAACACAGTCACTGATGGTCAGACCTGAAAACAGGTTGAACTTCTCACAACATCAGCAGATGGAGGAGATGATCGTCTGAGCGGTGAGGATGAGGAGGAGAGGAGAAGGTCGCGTTGATGTGATGAAGATGACGCAGAGAGGAGGGGTGAGGCGATCTGAGCTCAGCTTCATGCAGATGTTTTTAAGGAAGCAGGAAAGGAGGAAACATGATCAGCTTCACGTCATGGAGGCTAACGCTGTGCTACAGGCTGTCACCGTGTCTCCCATGATGTCACTTCCTGTCTGTTCAACCACATGGTCGGCTAAGGTGAAGCCGGGCAGCAGAGGATCTGCAGGAGGAACCTGAAGCTGAGAGGTTCCGCTTCAGAGCATCCAGGAAGGTCAGAGACCAGGAGACCTTCACCATCCAGGACTGACTGGGACCCAAATGGAACAGGGATGGATCTGATGAATCCAGCAGACGGGTTGGATCATCCAGAGAAGAAGAGCTGCGAGCTCTGAGGAGTCCAGTTGGTGCCAAGAGTGAAGCTTCGCCTCCACAAAGCAGACAGCGATTAAAATGTCCTTCAAGAACTTTGAGAGACACTTTGGGGAGGATCTATGGAACTTCCAGCACGGTGGAGGAACCTGTCAGATCTCAACCTCCTTTAGGGAACCTGTCACACCTTGACGATTTATCCACCATATTCCTGACGTCCCAGAATCCCCTAAAACGCCGACATACGCTGAACTTTCTATGGATTCTTTGGATGTTGGGTGTATGTGTAGCGTATTCATAACGAGTCCAGAACTTATGTCCGACAAACTGCCTAAAGGCCTGGTTATCCTCCGGTAGCAGTTTGTCGCAGACATTTTTGATTTATGCTCAATATTAAAGCGTGGTCTGCGCTAAGTTATTCCACGCCACAACGCCAGAGGGCCAATCAGGAACTAGCTGTGGGTCTAGATACGGCTGAGGCGTTGAGAAGTGGGGGGAAAGTCTGAGCGACAACGGAGGGACATGAGGGCCAAAAAGAGCGGGGATCCAGGCGGAAAAAGGGTCCCAGCGTTCTCGTAACCTGACTCTGCCAGATGGATTTGCTCCGCATATCCATCTGGAAACCTTCCGTTGAAGTAATTTTGGGAAGGGGCGAAAATCCTGGTTAGCTGATTGGCCTATGTTGGTGATAGACGGGCCAAATAAACCAATCAGATCAACGAAGCATATGACGTACTAACAGAGC